AAGCAAGCCTCACTTCACGAGAATTATAACATCATATCGTGTAGATCAGCGTTTCTCAAACTTATTTCTTCCAAAGCCCCCTTTAAATACCAAAACTTTTGTAGCGCCCCTCTACCAATTATTTTATACTATCTCTAAAAAACATTTTATTTCATTTTAATAATTGTGAAGTGTGCTATATTAGTTGGTATAACCTCAAATTCTAAATTAAAATTTTTTCTGGCAAATAAATTCTGGCAACTAGTTGTTGTATCATACAATGCACTGCAGAACATTAGAAATTTTATTTTTCGAGTAATGTATATATCCTTCTTAACAACTTTTCATAGCTGGAGCACCGATATAATATTTTTCAAGGCAATTATCAAATATAAATATCATTCTCATCAAATAACTTCTGCAGTGTTTTATATATGGTTTTTCCTTTTGTGTATGTCTCTAAATTCCTAACCATCTTTTTCATCTTTAATAAACCTCACGTAAGACAAAAACAATTAGTTGGTAAAGTGGACTAATACAATTTGAGTAAAAATTGACAAGACTTGTACAATGATTTTTCAATGTTTTCATCCATTCAAAATCTATGTGAAGTATTTTAAGTTCTTATATTATCATTATTTACTCTTATCGCTCCTCTGAAAATCAAAATCGCTCACCAGGAGCGATATCGCACACTTTGAGAAAGACTGTTGTAGATATAAATGCGCATATTTGGAGTAATAAAAATATCCTGACGAATGAGGATAAGGAAACATTTCTTCAATTTAACGCAATTAAAATGAGGTCCCCAATCTCCAGTAAGTTCGACTCTTAAAAACTGCTTTGCAATGGACACCATATGAAAATATTGTATCCACAATGGCTGTAGGTCTTCGTTCTCCAAACTCCATTAGTTTTCCATTAAATTGATATAATAATGTCTTCAACTCTTTTATTGCCTTCTTCATTGTCATTGTAGAAAATAGTTTTGTTAGTTACAAATTCAATTGTACTTGCAAGATTTTTTTCCTTGCATAATATAGCCAATTGCTTCATAAAAGTACATGAACAAATGAAAACTTCCAAGTCTCGATATGATTTTCGATAATTTAGATCCTTCACAGGTGCTTCAGATACAATTTCTCGAGCTTTTGCAAACAAAGGTTAATCAAAAGTAATAATACAATAATCATGGGCATAGCGTTTTGCATCTACCTAAGCACACAGTAAATATATTGTAAATAGTAAATTATTGTAGTTACTCGCTGGTTGAGAAATAGATGGTGACAATGAAGTTCAAGATTCCAAAAATTTCATACTATTACCCATTAACTGTTCAATGTAACCATTCCAACCAGGCAATAATAAATTTTTACCTTCTTAAGTTAAGATATTATATCATTGTTATTTTTAAAATTCTGTACAGATATTTTGCTAAAATCCACTACATCGCCTCTTTCATATAGAAAAAATATTGGTTCGTAATACAAGGTCTTCTTTTAAATAAGTCTTTCATCCATCTCATTATCGATAGCAAGTTCTTATAGTATAATCGTTGATAAAGTAATATGAAGCAAAGTATAAGCTCAAACTGCTCTCGCATAAGCATGGCCATTTAGCATTTCTTCTATTGAATTAGGTGCATAAATTAATGAAAGAATTTCTTTTATGCCACTTCTTTGCATAATATAGCCAATTGCTCTATAAAAGTACATGAACAAATGAAAACCTCCAAGTCTCGATATGATTTTCGATAATGTAGATCCTTCACAGGTGTTGCAGATACAATTTCTCGAGCTTTTGCAAATAAAGGTTGATCAAAAGTAATAATTCAATAATCATGACGATAACGCTTTGCATCTGCCTAAGCACACAGCAAATATATTGTAAAGAGTAAATTATTGTAGTTACTCGCTGGTTGATGAAAATAGATAAGTGACAATGAAATTCAAGATTCCAAAAAGTTCATACTATTACCCATTAACTGTACAATGTAACCATCCAATCAGGCAATAATAAATTATATTAATAAATTTTATTTAACTGATCTACCTTCTTAAGTAAAGATAGTATATCATTTTCATAATCAAAATTCTGTACAGATATTTTGCTACATCCCACTACAGCGCCTGTTTCATACACACGAATTAGCACATGAGCTTTTTCTTCGGAAACATTTGCTGAAGCCAGTATATTTGTTACTGATATAGGTTCTTCTAAAGTAATTAAACTTTTGGGATTTTATTGATTATATGAAGTGTGCTATGGCCGTCCAAAGTATGAACATATATATCAGCATTATTTGCAAAATATTGAATAAATGTACCAGTTTCTGATAGCAGAATATGAGGTGGACTGAAGCCAACCCACGTTGGAATCGAACCCGGAACTAGGATTTGCTATAACCCACGTTCTTACCACGAGACCACGGCTGGCCCCTTGTTCGGAAACTATCGAGTCAACATAGAATCGATCTAGTTTCGAAGCAGATTTACCTCTAATAAATGTGTATTTTATTTCATTTTTATGTTTTTGTTCCCATGCGTCTTTTAGTTCTAATTGTGTAATCACCCTCTCTAAAGATTGCCTAAAGTCGTCTTTTGCATTAATTACACAATTAAAATATCCTGCTATTAGCATGTTATTATTTTTATTAATAACTTGTTCAAATAATTATTCTTGTTCTATCCATCATTTTGATTAGCCTCAAATAATATATTTACATTTTTTTTTAGTCTTTTTATCTTCGCTTTTACTTCATTACAAGAATTTTCACCGAATTTTCAGTTTTTCATCATCATTCATTTCATCATCGTTCATTTCTTCATCATCAAAATTTAGTCTCTGATTGTCTTCAATAATGTGCGTTTTATAGTTGTATCAGTTTTAATGTCAATATCTATAGTTTCTTATATTTCTTTCATTACCTCATCTGTATTTTGCGTATTTATCTCATTAATTTAATTAAATATAGGAGTATTTTTTGGGAATTTCTTTTTCATGTCTATTAGTTAATTCTTCTTCCTCAACTTGAGATGTTTCAATGTTTTCAATATATTTTGTTCTGTGCTGTTTTGTGGTTCACAATTATTTTCTTGAATATTATTAATTGTTCCATTCGTTAGGATTTCAGCGCAATGTTTCTTAGAATGGTATCGTGCACCACATCTGAAACATTTTCGAGGCTGTCCTTTGATAACTAAAATGGAATTTTTGGCATTGAAATCAATTTTATCTGGTAACTCTTTATTTACAATTATTTGCAAGGTTCTATAGAGTTATGTTGTCTCCTACCCATTTATCTTCCTGATAATTTAGTAACTGTCCATATATCGTAATTTTACTAATATATTCTTTCGTTATTTCCCACTGGACATTTAACAATTTAACCCACTGTGCTGGTTTAGTAGGTTCACTTGTTTTAATTTTATATAACACATTTTAAATTATTTCACTTCCATATTTTTCAGTTATTTGTTCTATCACGTCTTTTATTGAAATTTCACGTTTAAAACTTTATTCTCCATTCCTATTCCATGAATAGAACTAACATTTTCCGATATACTATCAATTATATTTTTTAACCAATTATGTACCTACTGCAGCAAATGGTAAAATTCTACCTTCCACCATTTTGAAATCAAAAAGAAGTGTATTGACTATATCAAAACGCTCCATGTTGTTTGTACTAGAAATACACAGGCTTGTGTCTGGCCTGAGCCGTATTATATATATATATATATATATATATATATATATATATATATATATATATTATTTACCTTCGATTGCTCGATGCGAACTCTTAAGCATAAATGAGCCTAAGAAAGCAATTGTAGCAATTATTATGGGCCTTAGTTTCAGCAGCAAACTAAGTCAAACTCATACATGATGTGCACAATTATAGTTTTTGCCACGTCATCAGAACGACTTCTAGCTACATCAAAAATGGAATCTTTAAATTGTAGCCTAGATACATTATATATTTTACTGCAAACATTCAGTGCTTTCTTATTTTAGCTTGATCATTTGATTCATTGCCGCAAAATAAGCAATATCTTTCAAAACAAAAATCTGGTTCACTAACTCGTGCTCTAGTTTGAGGTAGACATATCGTGGATATACTATTTTGTTCTGTCTCGTGCTGTTTTATGTCAACAGATTTTGTTGTTTGTCTTTAAAGAATTGACAACAATTATCATTTGTTAACACTTGCATCAATCGAAGTTTTCATTCCACGATCAACAACAACTTCACATTTAAATGTTGATCACAAATGCAGCAAACTTCTAACATTTTGTTAAAATTCTTTAACAGCACAAATAAAAAATAAAATTCCATATCTTGACACTTCTAAAAAAATATTCAAAACTAATAGTGTTTACTTAATTATTGCATCTACTTTCTTTAGAAATAAACAAGTTTGTACTAGGACAATGCAATAGCTGGCGCATTTTGCTCAATGATGAGGACAATAAAAGACCAATACTATTCTTTTGATACTTCAAAAGAGTCATTGAATTTGTACTATCTAAATACAAATCAATGGATTCTTACGTTTTATTCATATTATATGTTCGATGGCGTATGAAGGATACACATTATGAAAAATATGAATTTTTGAACTTTTCAAACGGTAATATCTCTGGAACTATGATTGTAAAGAAAAAAGGGTGATATATAGGTTTCCGCAAAAAATAGGAAAAACAGAATTATGTACCTTTGACCTTGAAAAAAAAATTCACACATTTAGAACTCATGAAAACTTCTAACATTTCATTTGTAATGACTTACTTAACATCTGTATCAATTTTCAACTGTATGCAAATTATTTCAAAGTTACGTCTTTATTTTGAAGGGGTTAATTTTTTTTTGCTTCAGTTCGATTAGCACTTTACATTTTCTTTAATTTGGTGGCAGGTAGGTAGTAGTTCCTCATTTGTAACTTTGCCATTCTAAATATGCTGAATTTATGTTTATAGCTATATTTATATTTATGCTGAATAATAATTTTATTTTAGGCCAGGTACTGAAATTTTGGAAGCTATGAAACCACTGTTGGAGAACAACATCGATGACAGTATTTTTCCTTTGAGCGTTTCTTCATTAGTGCATTCTTTTTGCAAATACTCGAAGGATTGTTTTAGTTCAGCAGTAGTTCAAGATTTAGTTCAAATTCTAGAAGAACGCATCGATTTATATAAAAGAAATCTCGAGGATAGAGAAACAATAGCAAGGGTATGTTATAAATAAATTTGGATATAGTTAATGCATCCAGGTCAAATTTTATACAATATAACATTCATTATGAAAAATTATACGAGGATATCTGATAAACTGATAAATTTTGTCTTACAAAGATTTAAAATTATATCTAGGTTTTTCCAAGAAACCTAGATAACTTTTCACATTAACATTTGGCTATATATAAAAAATAATATATATGAATAATAATAATATATCTTTGTTAAAAATGAATTATTTTTAGGTACTTGTATTACTCAAAGCCATCGGAAATGCAGGAGTAGTTACGGATGATTTTTCCGACACTCTGCTGGATATAATCAACGATCCTGATATACTACTTGTTGTCAGATTAGGTGCTATTGAAGCTCATAGACGATTATCATGCACAAAAACTAGGTAAACCATTTAAGATAGTAAAATAAAATAATAAAAGCAACTCTAAATTTGTTGTCATTTCTTGTATAAGTTGGATTTTGTACGTGATTCAGAAAAAAATATTGCTGGATATGCGTTCCAGCATGCATAGACTTTATGCTACAATGTTTTAGTAAAAATTTTCTTTTAGTAAATTATTTGATTGTAAGTCAATTAGTTCTAATTGAATGTAGCTTCTTGCACATGGAAATTATAAGGTTGGCTAATTAATAATAAAGGTTTTTCAATAGCTTTGAAATCTTCTTTGGAATTCAGAATGCATGTGTTAATGCACTATATTTAAAAAAATCTGTATTTTTCAATGATTCTCGCTTGCAATGAGGGGAAATGATTTAATAATTTATTATTAAAGTTTTCAGCAAATAAATTGAGTTTTGTCATAAATGGTTTGAGGTTTGAGTGCATATTGAAAGCGAATTGGTTTTACCCTTGTAGATTTATATTTAGTTCATTCAAATATTTTACGATATCTACTGAAAACGAGAAATCGTTTATCCAAGCCTCATTTTGCAATTCAGGAAAATCATGTAGTTTTCCTTTTATCGACAAGAAGGATACTATTGCATCAAGTAAACATTGAAATCTGTCCAAAACTTTACCAATGCTAAGCCATCTTACTTCAGCGTAATAAAGAAATTAGTAGAAGTCACTTTCAATTTCTTTCAAAAATTCAACAAACTGTCGATGATTTACGGCACGTCCTCGAAAAAAATTCACAACTTTAGTCACAACAGTAATGACCTGATTCAATTTCAAATTTTTTCTGTATAGCACTCCTTGATGAATAATGCAGTGCAAAAATAATATATCGTGTTCTGGTTGTAACTCTTTTACTTTGTCGCGAATTCGTTTATAAGTCAACATTTTTCCCTGTTAAACTAGGACAACCATCCGTAGTGACGCTTACTATTTTATTCCAAGTTAAACTTACTTTAACTAAACACTCTTCAACAGCGAGAAAGAAGTCTTCACCAGTAGTTGTACCTTTCATTGGATGCACACTAAAAAGTTTCTCGCTAATTTCACATTTCTTGTTAATGCCGCGAATAAATATTAATAATTGACCTGCATCAGTAATAACAACAAACGTCAAGTAAGTTTCCTGAAATATTTTCAATCCGTCGTACTATTATTCTTCTCGAAAGGCTTACATTTTCAAAAATATGTTTCTTTTCAGGACAACAGATCTCCGACACTTGTTCCATGCATTGTTCAACAAATTCTGTTTCAGAAAACGGTTTACAGAACTTAGCAATTTTATGTGCGACAACATAACTTGGTTTTGTGATAGATTTCTCTATATTACTTTGTTTGGTAAAAATCAACCTACCGCCCATTTTATTACGCCTATTACATATACAGTACGCACACTAATAATGTTGATGTCAACAAAATCTCATAAAAGAATTTTAAAAAAAATGCGTGCGGAATTTTTCAACGGGCCGGATAAAATAAGCAAAGGGGCCGGACCCGGCCCGCGGGCCGGCTTTTGGCCACCCCTGCGCTACATAGACTGCTAGACCTCATATGTTTTCCGTTGTAAATAGTGCTCAAACATAGATGGGTATGTCACGTCACATATCTGAGCGATCATTGCCGACGACAATCGCGGACTCTCCCGATTGATCAAATGTCATATGTCATATGTTACGTGTCTATCATAGGCCTTATGGACCTCATATTATATAAACCGATTTTAACAGGTGGATTCGATTTTATGTACATAGGAAATATTATTAATATCATTAATATCATTTCTTATTATTATTGAAATAAAAATATCACAGATAATATTTGAATTAAATTAATTGGTACGATAAATAATATTAATATCATTTTTTAGAAAATTAGGAATCATCACAATTATTAAAATAAAACATAAAATATGATATTATCAATCGCGGGGAAAGCCCATCACATACCCATTATAATAATAATTCATAGAATTATAATTTTTATCAAGTTCTCTCAAAAATCTGAGAAACAAAATCGCCATTTGATTGGTTTCAATAAGATACTAAATGCTAAGTTGTAAAAGATGAGCACAGCCTTTGTGCGATTGTCGTCGGCTATGTTCGCTCAGACATGTGACGTCACATACCCATTATAATAATAATTCATAGAATGTATAATTTTTATCAAGTTCTCTCAAAAATTTGAGAAACACTGATTGATTGATTGATTTCAATAAGATACTAAATGTTAAGTTGTAAAAGATGAGCACAGCCTTTCTTCGGCCTTATAGTGTGGTCAATGTTGTGCCAAAACCATTTGTACCGATCTTACAACTAGAAATGCAATTTAAAAATTTCGCAAAAAAAATTTCTTGGTCTGGTTCGGTTGAAATATCAGTCCAAATTCTTCCTAAAGATTCAAGTACGCACAATGAGTACGCAAAAATCACAACTCACTACCTGTTACGTTATAATCAGTATTTAGGAAATTATAGAAGTATTTTTTATAATAATATCGCATTCATTTTTTAGAGAATTCTTCATAGAACTCTTGAAGAACCAGCAGCAACCGACCGAATTAAGAATTGCATCATACCTTCAAATCATGAGATGTCCAAATTATTTAGTAATCAACACAATCAAAAACACGTTAGACATCGAAGAAGTTAATCAAGGTATTAAATTGATAAATTATTAGAAGCCAAAATTAATATTCGATTATTATTTTATAGATATCATTTATATTTCTCTCCTTTTAGTTGGTTCGTTCATCTGGAGTCACTTACATAATTTAGTTCGATCAGCAAATCCAGTAAAAGTTGAAGTTCAAAGTTTGGTGTCAGATCACTTATTGGGACAAAAGTTCAATCTTGGAATAAGAAAATACTCCAGAAACTATGAATATAGTATATTTTTTGAAGATTATAACATGGGTATGCATAAATCTGTTATTATAGTGCTAAATAAAATATTTAAAAATTGCATTATAAAATGGAAATTAAAATTATTTAAACTGAATCATGTGAAAATCAATAACTAGACATAATGCCTTTTTTTCAGGTGGCAACGTGGAAAGTAACGTGATATTTTCTCCAGAATCATATATCCCACGATCTTTGTTACTGAATATGACTGTCGATGTTTTTGGAGAGAGTTTAAATTTATTCGAAATCAATACTCGATTAGAAGGCTTCGAGCATTACATAGAAAGCATATTTGGACCAGATGGCCCTTTGAGTTCCGAAAAAGTGAAAGACGTAGTACGTGGTCAAATCAACAAACTGTCAAACCTACGATTTCCTAGACAGGCGTCAAATGTTGAAATTACTGCAGAAGATTTGAAGAGCAGCATTGATAAATTGCCTTATAAACTAGATTACAATTACAATACTCCCAAACTGTCGTTGGGAATGAAAATATTTGGAAATGATTTGCAGTATGTTGATTTTGAAGGAAATGAGGAAGTTCAAAACGTTGCTAACGCGATGAATCCAATGACGTACGTTTACAATTTTCTGTCAGGAAAAGAAATTAAATTCAAAAAGGCTGGAGTGTTTTTAGATGCTTCGTATTCAATTCCTACTTATACCGGTTTTCCCTTAAATCTAAAAGTACATGGATCTTCTGGGGTAGACTTTAAAATGATTGGATCTTTGAAAGCAGACAACTTCTTCGAAACAAAGAAGATGAATTTAAAAGGACATGTTACTCCGAGGTAATCAATGTTAAAAATTTTCTTCTAAGCTTTTTATCACTGTTTTATGCCTAATGTATTTTTCTTATTTATAGTGTCACTGTGGACGTTGTAGGAACTATGGAAGTAGATGCTTTCTACACGTCAACTGGAATTAAATTAAAAACCAATTTGTATTCGAGTTCTGCTGTTGAAGTAGTATTGGTGATTGAAAGTCCAAAGCTTGTGTCCTTAGAACTTAGTCTCCCAAAAGAAAAAACAGAGATCTTCAGTGCCAAGTAAAAAACTTATAATAAAATTCCTTTTTTCAAATTGATACTAAAAATTAATCAAACTTCTAGGTCAGAGTTAGTAGTAGTTCAAAATGAAGTGGACCAATTTCAATCTGGTCATAAAAACTTCATCAATGAATCATCGTGTTCGTGGCCTGTATTTAATAAAGCTATCGGTCTTGAATTTTGTGCCAACTACACCATTCCAAATGTGACCAAAGCAGAAACAGTTCCATCGTTTCTTTTAAGTGGCCCCGTAACATTTAATATTGCCTTGCATAAAGCAGGTGAGAAATCAACAATAATAAATCAATCAATTGCTCTATTAGAAAACTCATGTACAACTATTTCATCAACCAAATATTTTTATAGATCCAACAGCTAAAAAGTACGTCTTCGAATACAAATGGGAAAACCTAAATAACATCAGCTACGTGAGTTTTATCTTCAATACTCCCAATTCAGAAATGAAACGTTTACTTGGATCCAACATAACTTTAGCAGATAACAGCAAAAATTTCACTGTAATCTTCAACTCTGATACAAACACATTCCTTGCGCGTGGATTGTATAAAAATAATCATAACAGCATCACGTCTAATATAACTTTGGATATCAATGGAAATAAACATCTGGATGCACATTTTGAATGGACAATTAGAAATGAGACACACGGTCACTTGTATATTCCTAAATTATACTTGGCTGTTAATTCGGAAAAAGTTGCAGAATTGACAGGGTTATTAAAAGCTGTGACAAAAAAGAATATTTCCCAATATGATATTAAACTTAGATTTGAAACGAAAAGGTTGGTTGCTGTTTTGATGGGTTATGTAACGGACAGCGAAGCATCAACGAGTACCAAGTTGAAATTAGATTATAAGGTTTGTAGATTAGGATAGATTGAATATCAATTTATATTTGGTCTAATTTGTATCAGAAATGTGTGACAATTTAATTTATAATTATAATTTATTTTATAATAATTGAATTAGTATGTTATGAATACCAATAATTTTTTGCTCCACTGCTTTTATTTCACAAATAATATAAAAAATTAAATAAAATTTACATGTTTAATATTTCATATATAATTTTATTTTAATATATTATATGAAATATCCTCCGTGCTTTGGATTTGCATAGAAAGAAAAAATGACAACGTTGAATAAAATTAATAAGAATTGGCGTAAAAGTAAATTTACTGTAATTTTCAGTTCTTGGAAAGCAGACTAGAAAACGTGAAAATAGAAGGAAGTGTAAGTAATCTAAGTGATCGAAATCGGACACATCGAAGAGGCGAATTCAAACTCGAAACTACAGCTTATCCACAGTACAACTTTGTGTCAGCTCTAACCTTCATCAACCACCTTGGACATGTCGACTGCAAAATAGACATCAACACATCCAAAAATCTGACGGATCCTAATCATACTTTGACCATTCACACTATACTTCTTTTGAACAACTCATACGAATCCAGTAAATACAGCGCCCAAATTTCTGTCTTCAAACCTATATCGCGTTTGGATGTAGGATTGCAATTGCTATACGAAAAAATGGGTTTTCAGCATCACGGTTGGATTGTGGTAAAATATGCACCAACAAAAGAAATCATAAGTGATATTGATGTATCTTTCATTAGTCGACCGAGCTTACAGGCTGATGGTAAATTCAATTTAACCATACCCTCGTTCGTGCCTTTCGTCATTGAAGGAAGCATTGCGGAAAAATCTCAAAGAGAATATGTGGTAAGTGGATCTGTGTTAATTTATTCACTATACTTCTGAAATAAATTAATTATTAATTATACTTTTCAGATAAATTTGAACACATGTTGGTTCACTGGACACACAATGACAGCAAGAGCTTTTTACAACAATAACAGCACCGCAAGTAGAACCAGCCATTACTTGAAACTTCACATGAAGTCACCTGGAGATATGGACGAATCTTCTCAGAAACAATCCCATGAGGTTGACGTGAACTGCAGATATCATCATGATAAAAAAGAACTGAGATTGGATGTTCAGGTAAATAATAGCAAACAGAAAAATGAAGCAATTATCGAGGTTTCTGTAAATTCATCTATGTATGTCGGTTTGTCCTCCTATGATCTTCTACATCAGCAATGTGAATACAAGCTTTGGATAATTTTTATTGCTGTTTCGTAAAGTGTATATTTCTAGTTCATGTAAATCAAAATGTAAATTTGCACAAATTTCTTATGTTGCTTGTCAGCAGAATCTGGTTTTCAACAAAAAATCACTTAACACAGCGAGCGGTATCTATGCTCAATTAATTTTTTCAATGAAGGTCCTTAATTGTTTTAATATTTTTGTCGTTTCATTAGTAATTTTTCAACAGGTTAGTCATAATGGTGAAAGATACGGAATACTTGTGAAGCATCTAGAGCCTTCAGCAAGCAGTATGTCATCTTATTTAAAAATACGCTACAAGGCACAAATCTATTCGATTACGTCTACAATAGAAATGGAACATCCTAACAAACAATTGTTACTCGACATACATCTCGATAAGTAAGTAAAAATATAGTATGTATACACACATATGTTCACACAAGAACAAAAGCACACCCACAATTAAAGGGGTTGTTTTTTTTTATTTAATTTTTTCGATTTTTTGATATTATGAAAGCTAAAAACGTTAGAATTATTTAAAAAAAAAATCATCTCAATATTTATTTTTTTGACAAAGTTATAGATATATATATCTCTATATGTATGATCCTCTGAAACCGTTTTTTCATCGCTCCGCGAGCTATTGTATGCCAGCTGCTCCCTTTTTCATTATAATACGTCATGCACATGACCTTTATAATGTGTCAGCACCTTTGAACACCATAGTGTATTAGTACATTAAATTAAATGGTGTATTTAGTACATTATATTAAAAACTTTAAATTCGTTTTTCTCAAATTGACTTTTTTCAATGCGGTGCCACAAATTAAAAAAAAACTACAAGTCGGATCGACTTACATTTTTTTTTAATTTGTTCACCACTGCAATACCTAGTCCCCCTACCTCAAACAACTTGATAACATTACGCAAAAAAAATTTACGAAGCTTCTCGTCCCAAAAAAGGCCCTTTTTAACACTTTTTTTTAAATAGCTGCCATTTTTTTCCTTCTTGTTTTTTTTCTTTTATTTTGGTAGGGGACTGGATTCAAACTTCTTCTTCAACGTGGTTTCGTTTTTTTTTTTTGTTTCAGGCGATGCGCAACGGATTTATCTGTAGCACCGCAAAAGAGATTGGCGCCCCCTTGTTAACAAATGACGGCGACAAAAAAAAATATAAAATTTCTTAATATTCTATGATTTGGTAATTGTTGTTTAAAAAAAAACCGCATGTCTCTATGATCAATACATTTCGAGAAAAACAAAAACAAATACCTTGCATTTTTTGTAACAAAAAAAAGAACAACCCCCTTAATAGGTCAATAAATATAAATGAATATATTTTACCAATCATCTAATCTAACTAAATTGTATTTTCGTAGAATTCGAGATATCCACCTTGCTCTCAGAGGTATTAATGGTAAAGTGAAAAAAGAATTCGGTGTAGAAGTAAAATGGGATGCAAACCGTGATCCTGGTCAAAAGGCAGTTTTATCTGTGGAGATGCACAGACCAAAACCCTCTGCCGTCGACTACGAATTTGTTCTGACGTACCCTGGAAGAACTGTAACAGGATCTTTGGGAATGAAATCCACGGGTATGCTAAACCATACATGTATTTTTATAAAATATACGCATGTGGCGGCATGTGCATATAGTAATCCCACAAATATTTTGCAATTTCAACACAAAATAATTCTCTCATTTAAAATGTTAAATTAATTATCTCAAAATAAAAGATAATCCTCTCATTTCAATTTGAGCTTTATAATTTTAATTGTTTTTCACATATACCAAATCCCTGTATCTACGTATATGTTTAAATTCAAAAGCCCATTATACATGTTGCTTTAGCCCATTATCATGTTCTAGTAATGATATTAATTTACATTTATAATTCAGTAACTCAAATTTTGTGTGTACCGGCGTACCGAATCGATTACTGGTACCATCAAATTCAATACTAGACTCCAGAAAAGTTCTGCAAGTTCAAACAAATTACTTTCGATGTCAAAAACAAGAAACCTTGTACAACAGAATCCACAGTATTTATATGTGTTCCATATATAACCCTAAACAGCTATTGCTGTTTCCTTATTTTCCTTGATAAAATTTCAAATAAAATCACCTAATAACTTATTTATAATTTTAGTTTCGCAACGTTTGGATTATGACTATACATTAACATCTCGAGTCATGTGGAGTCCGCAGGACGAAGTATCCTTGCATGTAGCTGCAGGATATAGGTTTCAACCAGGAATTTTCACGAAATTGTCAATAGATCTTTATACACCATTCGATCACTGGTCAAGAACATTATTGCATTTGAGGCAAGTACATGATGATTGAAAATATACATGTGGAATGTAGAATGTAGAAATAGGAATAAAATAGAAATATAAATCAAAAATAAATTACAATCACAAAGATCGTTTTAAATTAATATGGTCATTAGAGTTGCGAGTGGCACTAAAAATTTGACTAAATATTAGCTTCAAATTCTACAATTGTCTTTATAAAAAGACTATAATTTACTCAAAATTGCCAGTAGTTTTTTTTTGCTACGAAATATTGCAATTTTGAAAATTAATACGTACAAAAGTCATCTAGAGTAAAGTCTTGATCAACAGATTGTTTTTCAATATTGCACTTGAGTTTTGAAAATTGATACCAGACAAATTAAGAAAGAATTTGAATAAATTTTCTAAAGATTAATATGTACGTTTATTTTCTAAAGATTAATATGTACCTAGCTAGTCTGTATATCTGAATTTTGATTAGTTGAGTATGATTTTTGGAAAAACTTTTTCATAGCTGACCAATATATACCTACGCAATATTCATATAATTTTATCATCTTAGACTTACTTTAAAACTATTTTTGCCTAAAGCTTAAAATTTAGATACGATTTAGCTTAGTCCATAAAATGCACCCATACGCTTATATTATGAATGTTTAACTTTACAAAAAAAAGCAGGTAAGAGAAAGAAGTCAAATAAATAAATTGTGTAAGGAGTTTATAGAGTAGTTTATCAGCTTCAACATGGTGTAATACTATTTTTGTATAAAGCTTGAAATTTAGATAAGTTTCAACAAAAATAAAAAACGCGTTCTTCTTTTAAAGGCAATGTCCATGCGAAGGCAACGAAAAAAAAATAGAATTGTGTACGCAATTTATACATAAATTTCTTCGTTAATAGATAAGTTTGTTTTAAAAGATTTGAAAAAGATTTAGCAAAAATTAAAAAATCTCCATTATTATAATATAAATATCTTTTGCGAGAAAATTTCTGGTAAGACACTAATTGCAACTCAAATTTTATTGTATAAAAGTTTTAGAAAATTTTATGAGCATCAACTGGGTATAATAATACTATTTTTGCGTAATGCTTTAAAAGTGGGATAAAAGATTTAGTTATGAAACAAATACTCCATATGCTTTTATTATATTTGTCTAAATTTAGTAGCATTTTGTAGCATTAAAAAGAAGTCAAATAAAAATTCCAATAACTATTGGTTTGGTATTATTCAGAAATCCGATGAAAAGTTTCCGACAATTTTTGTTCTTTTAGTTTTTTTAAACCAACTGGTTAATAATAACTAATTCCTGATACAAATTTTGGCTAATAATATAATATAATAAAATTTTGGAACATATAATTTAATTTTCTTCTTTGATTATTTTTAACATACCTTTTTTATAGTTTCCTGCTGCAGCAAAATCTAATCCATGTAGACTGTTCTGTTTTATGGGAGAGCAACAACCAAATTTCGATTGATATTTTTGGAGATTACGAAATCACTTCCGAGTCCTTCCGTTGCACTTACAACAGCAGTCTAATTAGCACCATCCAAAACGTTCCTTCTTTAAGTGCATTCCTGAAACACAAACATAACCATTCGAGAATCGACACCGAAATTAACGTCAAGGTAGGAAAAATTAAATTTTTAAATGAACAGTATTTATTTTTAAGTCCATCACGACAGTTTTGATGATAATCGTTTTTTTGTTCAGTATAATCCTGAACAAGTAATTTCGATCGTGAGTGGTTGGCAACTGGATCGGGAATTGCTAGCTGATACATTATCAGGAATGGTGACAATTAACTCTCCTTTCAAAGGATATGGCAAAGGATTGTTAGTTTGCAAAATTACATTGGCGCATAATAGAACACTTCATGGGGCAGCTGAGTTGAATTTGGAGAACAAGAAATACACGTTGGTCATTAAAGGTAAAATCATTACCATGATCAACCTTTTCCCATGAGTATTATTTTTTGCTTGATCGATTAAATCATATATATTCATTTCAATTATCCTCAACAGGTCACCTGCAAAAACTGACCAACAACATGCTAAATTTCAACATAACCACTCCGATACAAAAATATAGTCTTCTGACTGGAAGATTTGGTGTGTCTGAAGAGTTACGACATGCAGTGGCCGAAATTAGAACTCCCACAGATTGCATGGGCTTGGAATTATTGCTGGACGTCCACACAACATCCAACTTTGATGTAAAGTTCTATTTGGCAACGCCTTTTGAACAAGTGAAAGACATAATGTTGGTCGGAAAACTGAAGCAAACAGAGGTATATGAAGTTTAAGTTGTTTCATTTGATAAATGACAAAAGAATGCCACTACACAAAATATGATCGCTTCAAAAAAGGCATTAAAAATGATGTCATACTAAAAAAAATGTACTACTTTAAAGAAAAAGCCTCAGTCTAGTCTTCTATGAAATTCGCAGCATGAATTGAAAAAAAACATGATTCTATGTATTCAATATAATTCCAGGTGGATTTCCGAGCTGGTTGGAATTCGTTAGTTCTTGGCTTTGCAGGCGTCTGGAGATACAAAATGTTGACTGATATGGAGTATTCTTTTAAGTTCTTCATCCCCATTGAACATTTTGAAGAAAATGGTGTTGTTGTTAAAATTATTTACAATGAAGAGTTGGATCTAGAACTATCTTTACAATTATCTGATAAAAAGGTAAACAAAGTAATAATGATTTAATAATCAATAAGTGAATTTGATTATAAACAATTTTTTTAAATTTAAACAGATTGGTATAAAAGCAGTTGGAAGACCAAATCAGATAGCTTTATACCGTGAATTTGGGTTTAAGAGACCCTTACTTTTCGAGCCAATTCAAGAAGAGCAAGACGAGTATTCAGACGAGGAAGAAATGGATGGATCAGAAGACATTTCTGAAGAAGATTATGCATCCTGGTCTGGTCTTATAGAACTCGATACTCTATTGTATCCTACCATGAAGGGAATATTGAATTACGAGAAAATTGATACGATTAGATCCATTTCGGGTTCACTGGCATTGGAGGAAGGAGAAATTGAACTTCGCAACGATTTTCAAATGTTGGTAGGTTTACAAATTCATTACTATCGCGCATAATCTTAGTGAATTCTCATATAATTATGAACTCGATGTTCTTGATCTAGGATGTGTTCACAATGCGGAATCAACTTTTGGTCATCAGTCCATTTGAACAAGCAAAAAATATCACTCTAAAATATGATCTACAAATAGAAATGGGAAGCTCATACCTTGTAGATGCGGACTTGCATGTACTAAGCTACAACGATACTCATCAGGTGAAAAATCGTCACCAATACTAATTTTCCTCTTCTAATAGATGATCTGCTCGAAACCAAGTTCATAAATTAAAAATTGTCACTATAAATTTTTCAATTTCCGCAGGGACGATTATTGGTAAACTATACAGTGAAAGATCTTGATAATCCTACTCAATCAAGAATACATCATGCACTTTTAGAGTTACGAACACCTATTGAGAATCTATCCTTAGCGCAAGCGCAGCTGGTATATGAAACCCAGGAAGGATTGTATCGTGTCAACGTTACTGGAAGAACGTCTACGAGTGAGGCCTCTTTCGCTGGTAATTTGGAGGTATTTATATGTTTCAATTAATTGTTCTTCAATTTTAATGCTACAGGCTCCACAAAATGACTCCCTGGTCGAATTGTCACAATCATGATTCTCCTCAAAAAAGCGAGTTTTGAAAATATAAATAGCAGATCCTGTACCCATAAAGAAAATTTAGAATATAGAGCAAAATATTTATATTTGTATACTTTATTTACAGATGTTCAAGGACTATTTAGAAGCTACTGGTGGAATGCGTTTGTCATCTAACCTACTTAACATACCTATGGTAACATTTTTAGCCAAAAAAGATTTTTCGGAAATTGAAAGACGATTGGAGCTCGGATTTGGTATTCTGGAGAATAATACATGGCAAAAGGTAATGTCAAATTTAATTAAGCAAAGATTCGCCAATTATGTTTTTTAAATGCGGCTGATTTAGGAAATTAAACTTTAAATTAAATTTAATTTTTTCTAGGAAATTAAACAAGGTTATAAAAGACCAAACTATAATTTCAAATAGGGTGTTACCTAACTATGTTAATAGTTTTATATAGAATGTAAATAAATATATAATACTTAATATTCTTTCTTACAGTTTGACATTGAGACCTCTTGGCATGTGGAGTCTGATGACTTCATCAACATGAAAATAATGGTTGAAACACCAATAGAAGCAGTTTCTAAACTCGGGTGTTCTATTCTGGTATCAAAATCATCCCAAAGTAGTGAACCGACGGCTTCCGCCTCATTAGAACTCCATTACAAAGAACACGAATTAACTGTGAACGCCGGAAGACAAGGGTCACATGTTACCTTTGAGCTCACGACCCCATTGGAAGAGTTCAGGTAAGGTTATCGATGCACATTCATGGCGAATTGCTGAGTTACATAATAAACTAGTAGTGCATGGCATCGTTCTTTAAGGCAAATTTACGAAACTTCCCGTACCGTAATTCAACATTCGAGAAATGAAGATAATCAATAATCAGTAAAATTTTTCAATAATTAATTACAATTGTTTTATATAGTTTCAAATAGATTATTCATTATAAATACAATCTAGGAATTTGTAAGTGCTTATTAAATTGGGTATACTACAAACAACTTATATGTATGTTCATAAGAATTCAATTTTTTTGAAAATTCGATTTTTTTGGTAATTTTGAATTATTTTTTTTAATTTTGATAATTTAAAAGTTCCAATTATTTAGAATTTTTGAGAAAAATCGTTTTTTTTTTAAATTATTCGAGAAACTTTTTTTTTGAAATTTTCGAACTTTTCTAAAATTTTTGTAAGAAATCGATTTTTTTTAAATTCTGATATTTTTTAAAAATATTCAAAATTAATTTTGAATTTTTTTGAAAAATTTTAAAATTAGGAAACTTTAATTGTAAAAGCATTTTTTTTTCACGTCATCTACACAAATAAAATGTTTTTTGAAATACTCTAATCGGATGATCCGTTCTCTAAAAACTGCATGACCATTTTTACACCATTTGTGCTCCATACCTCCGAATCGTCTAGACGTGCCTTTTGCAAAAACGCCTCGCGATCGAGTACTAACCAAATGTTTCTTCAATCATACAAATCAATTACTCCATACTGTCGAAAATATCGAGGACATTTGTTTAATACACATAGGTGAACTTTAAAATTAAAAATCTTTGTACGAAACCCAAAAAAGTTGACACAAAATGTGTACACATTGTTAAAATCTCTATAAAATATCTTATAATTTAATGTGCATATGTGTAATGAACATTTTTGTCCGCCAAATGGCGGTTTTTTTAACTTTTTTTTATTGAGAGTCCATAACCGCTAGATCTGGCAATCCGCAAATTTAAACTGTTCTTTGTTTCAAATTGCTTCATCTTATTTGTTTATTTAATTAAATATTATAACTACTTATCAATATACTAATCAGAAATTAATTCGGTAATTTGTATCCCTTTAGTGTATAAATTCGACTCATACTTCAATGTATTTCAATAATATAGTACAATTATATTACTATATAATTATTATTTTTATTACAGAAATATTTCCTTTGATGGCGAGTTAGAACAGGAGGAATCCATAACAGCAGCTTATGTCGACGCATCGTCTTATGGACTAAAAGGAACTTTAAGGTCAGGACCTCGAAGATATCGAGTACAAGGAGATGTCATAGTACTAGATTCGATGCCCCTAAAGGTAATGTAAGAACTTTAGCCTGTTTAGTTACAAAAAAACGAGGTCATAAACTAGGATCAACGATTTGTTCACCTTTGAAACTCATTTTGGATACTGTTTTTAATCTCGATATCTTGCAATTATTTTTGAAAAAGATTAGAAAGTAACCAGTGTTTTTTATACAACTTGTCTATATACAAAATGGAAAAATAATTAATATCCAACATGTCTTCAAAATTTATTTTTTTGAACTAATTTAGCCCGTTTAGTTGAAAAAAAAGGTCATAAAACTAGGATCAGTTATTGATTCACCTTTAAAACTCATTTTGAATTCCGTTTTTAATCTCGACATACTTGCAACCCTTTTCGAAAATATTAGAGGTTTTTTTTTCAACTTGTCTAATATATATGCATAATCAAAAAATAGTGGATATCCAAAATGTCTTCAAAATTTATTTTTTGAAGTCAAACTTCTTTAGGCGCGACTGGAGTGTAAATCCGTACAAATGAAACGGAAGTGGGTTACGGCAAGATCGAATGCCAATGATTCGCCATTCGCTCTCGATGAGATCATTTCTATATGGGTCGATTCTGATTGGTCGTCGTATTTTTGCGAGGCTTCTTTGTATGCGTTACTATACATGCGTACGTCACCGAAAGCGTGCAGCATATTGTTCATTTTTCGGAGTTTTATGTCGTTACATTTCAAAGTTAAATATTAGTACAAATCTTGAGTTAATAAAAATGTATGGATCGGAAGAATATTTTATCACATTCCCCATAAATAATTAAATAGTGCAAATAATAAAGCAAATATAAAATCTGTGACGTGTGAGAAACGTAAGTTTATTGAAGTAATTTATATTATTCGTGGTTACTATATATTATTGAAGTTATTAAAATGGAAATTATTTGTATATGCAAGACAGATATTACAACTGTTCAAAGAATGAAACTGTATCGCCAGCGAAAAACTAAAGAAAAAACAAGCAATCAATGAATGTATGTTGATTTCAATTACATGAAGTTCTTCAAACACAATTACATGACAAGTGAAATTGTGAAAACTATATTTATTTAGGCGTTGTTTAACATAATAATTCTCTGCATTTTTATAGATATTAAAAATATTAAAGCAGTACAGATTTATTCTAACATGCCGAAGATCTATTTTTTACATAATTATATCTGACACTTTTGGAAGTTTAGAGGAAGTCGTACTCTTTTTTATGTAGACTTCTACAATCTTCGCCTCGATCATAAGTTGAAGTAATGAGATTAAAATGTTACTAAAACTAACCTGTATTGTGTTGTTAATCCTAAATATTAGAAAAAAATCGAAATCATTCTAACCAAATTTAGCACACCTATATCTACTAGAACTACCAAATCTGTTCACCAACCTTCTTTCTAGATATACCTAAATCAATTTTCTCTTCTTACTTTATTGTACCCATGACTAGAATTATATGAAAAAATTAGATGAGTTCATTGTAAAGCAATTCACCAAATCTAATTTCGTCTCATTAAATCTCTTAAAAATAGCTTCAACGCTTTAAGTTCTTATCAGACCTGAAAACAGACCATCAATTCCTCATGCACTTGCAATATTCTTTTTCTTTTCAGATAAATGTGGAAATGATACCACACCAACCTGGAGAACCAAAAACACTGCAATACGTATGGGCAAGGACACCAACAGGACATGCAATCACAGCGCGAATGGACAGCGGAAAACGATATTTGGCGGTATCTGGTGAAGCTGCCATCAGGCATAAATATGACTGGGATTTAGGACTTCATGTAAGAAGAAATTCTGAAATGTATAGATTAATAGACAAAATCTAATTAATATTTTTCATATAATATGTTCCATAGATCGATTCATCTGTGACAGTTCTAAGGAACTTGAACTTCAAAAGTAATCTAAAAAGCTTGCCAAATGATAGAATGACCTTTGATCTGGAAATGACATCACCTATCAAGAAACTGGCTAGATCAAATCTAACAGTGGATGTGACGTAAGTATTTCCTATAACAATACAGATTCTTCAGTGATAGCAGTAATTGTAATGAAAATAGAAGATATAAATTGTTTACCATATTTGAGCAAAAACTTTATGTTAAATCAAATATATATTAGCAATAATTAAATTCATGAATGGTTGAGAATTATGAAAAACCGCGAATGGCTCGATGTGTAAATTTAAATTTTCGATTTTTACTTTCATTAGACTTATAAAAGAAAATGGCAATATGAACGTTGCTTATGCGCTGGAGAGTTCACATGGTAGCATCGCCACCTCTTGGGTTTACCATTTGATGCAAGACATGAGAGTCAACGTCGTCGCCCAACAACATCTTCAGAACAAGCCATTCCGGTATGCTAGTTTGGCAGCCAAGTACATCAATCCTTCAACGACAAAGAAGAAATTCGACAACTTGACGATCGGAGCTGATTTGAACATTGATAATTTATGGAAGTATGTACTCCAACTCTTTAATAACCAGATAAAAATTCTGTAGATTAAAAATTATGTTCATGTTGACCATGTCAAACAATTCTACGTCCATCCACTTAGAAAGTCTACGATCATTAGTATAGCACTATTATTTATTTTTACATCGATTTTAATATATTAATTAAGACACAAGCTTGATGCACCTCTTGAAATACTATAAATTTCTATTTTACCAGGGTTGGATCCAACGTTTCAATAGCAATGCCATCCTTCAGCGACGCAAAACTTGATATCAAACTACTTCTACCTCCTCCGCATGCAGACTTGCATCATGCAATCTGCAAATACAAATCCACAAACGATCCTAAGGACTTGAATATAAATCTGTTTTATGAGACTGAAGTCAGCGAATTGCATTATTCTGCAAATGCTAAGGTAAGATGAAATTTAGTAATAATAACGATTTTGACACATTATTCCTACATAAATACGGTAATATGTATAAACCATAGCATTCCTGTTTATAATCATATTTTGGAACCATTTGTTAACTTCCCGAAGGAGAAATTTATGTTTTCATCAAAAAATCTGATTCGCTAATTTTATGTTTTCTCGACGTTTCAAGCCATTATGAATCGAATGAGACTAAATTTGAAAAAGGTATGTGTTTGTGTGTATGTGTAAACAGATTTTTTGACGTAAATTGAAAAATTTAAAAGCCATTCGATGTATCTCGATGAAGACTAGCGTTTCTCAGTTTTGTGCGACGATCAGCCGAGCCGTTTCCTTGTAAATCGCAGAAAAGTGAAAAATTTTTCGATTTTGAAAATTCAAAAACTGTTCGAAAGATAATGGTTGGGAATCGACCTGATTAGTTTTTAAAGCGTTAAAATTTTTTGACGATTTTTATAAATTTTTTTGACGGTAGATACCATTGTCTTATAGTTCATACTAAAATATTACGGTCCCTACGACAAGTCGTTTAATTTTGAAAATTCGTCAAAGTTTGCAAAAATTAGTATCGTTTTTTGGCGTTTGTCAAAATTAGACCTTTGATCAACGTTTGTTCAAAACCACCTGAACCAATTTCAAAAATTTAAAAGCCAATCGAAGTATTTTGAGATGTATCTTTTCTCAGTTTTGTGCAGCGATTGGCCGAGCCATTTCTTTGTAACTTGGAAGAAAGTGTTAAACTTATCGTCGAGATTTAAGCTTTTACTACCGAATCAATTTTAAAAAATCAAAAACTGTTCGAAAGGTATTGGTTGGGATTGATACTGATTAGTTTTAGGTGAAAATCTACTGAACGTTTTCTTGTAATTAACTGTTGAAAAAAAAAACTTAAGCCGATTTTTATGGAACTTTTGTTGGCGATATATATCATGGTCTTATAGAACTTACTGAAATATTACGGTCTTACGACGAGTAGTTCAATTTTAAAAATTCATCAAAGTTCGAGAAAATGAGTAGTTTTTTAGACGTTTGTTAAAATATAAATTAGACAATTTACTTGATATAACGATAGAAACCTTGGTTTTAATGAACATATTAAACCATTAAAGACCTACGGAAACTGGTTTAATTATAAAAATTATTGATTTGTGAAAATTTGCTTTTGGAAAATACTCCGAATGTTCGTTCGTTTTCAAATATGTGTAATAAATCGACTCGAAATACTTTTAATCACTCATAAATTAATTTATTTTTTATTGATTAAGTCGATTATTTACACATATCGGGAAGTTCATGTAACTTGCATCAAAGCAAAATATCAATACCAACTAGTTTTTTCAAAAATTAATCACAAAATAATTGTAATTATAAATATTTTTACAACAAGCTAAAAGATAAAATGCCACTCACACATTTTTTGTTCTCAGATGTTGAAAAACATATCAAACAACGCCAATGATACCCAAGCAGAATTGGAATTACTTTGGGGAACAAAAAAAGACAAGAAAGTCATCGGTAATTATTTACATATGGTTCAGGATAATGAACATCGTACTCAACTAAATTACAATTTGACGACACCTAAATACAAGAACGAAGAAACTATTATAACGTCTCTTAATTATGACAAGGATAACTACTACCACAACGCCAGGTAAAGAAAAAAGTTTAAAATTCATGAACAGATAGAAAAATACAACCACAATTATATTCAATAAATCAGAACCATCTGTTTCAATTCATTATCTCTTCCCTGGACTTGTCCTGCATGTATATAACATCAATTCTTACAGCATTTATATTTTGACATTTTATTAATGTGTGTTATAAATGTTTCAGTGGAATCCTTCGTATCCCTGCTTCTCGATTGATAGCAAGTGCGGACGTGGCATACCACTCATTTGAGAACACCCATGGGATATTCAACTGCAGCACCCCCCTCAAGAAATTGCCCTGGCTCGGAGGAAATTTCAAACTCAATGCAGATGAACACAAGTAATGGGAAAAACGAGTCATGAATAAAAGCGTTATATTTAGTAGAAAACTGCTAGAACTCCACACGTTGTTCAAAATATTATAACTGCAGTAATTTTTGAACTTAAGTTAAATGATTTTAAATGAGTTAGAAGGTTGTAATTACAACATTTTAACTGAAGAAGTATATGTTTTCGACAAAAAAACGACTTCCAATTTGTCATGTCATGTTTGAGATCAAATTTGAAGAAAGTATGCGAGTGTATGAGCCAATGAGCCAATTTTTAAAATTTTGTAGAAATTCTCTCTGAACTGATTTCAAAAAATTAAAAACTATTTGCTAAAGCTCGATAAATTAGCGATAAGTTTCACGAGACGATTGGTCGAGCCGTATCTTTAGAACCAGCAGAAAAGTACAAACAATTTCGTCCATAATTTCGCAAAAAATACTAAATCTATTTTGAAAATTTAAAAACAGTTCAAAAGTATCAGTTTGGAATTGTGCTGAATAGTTCTTCGCAATGATCGGTCAGACCGTTTCTATGTAATTAAATGTTAGATTTTTTCCACGCTTAACGAAAATTACAAAAAGTTCATAGTAAACGGATATCCTAACGGATATCCTAAAATATTAGGTTTTTCGTAAAAATGAAAATTTTATTTTCTACCACTAACAGCTGAAAATTTTATTCAATTAGCCAAGTCTTATTTTTAACTTGAAAATGAAAATGTTTGCATATCTTCACGTTTCAGAGGTTTCTGTATATTTTGGCATACCTCAAAAATAATGGATGTATGTGTGGGTATGTGTGGAGATAATTTTTCGTCGACGATTTCGGGCGTACAGATTATCCGATTTGAATTGTTCAAAAAACATTCGATTCCTATTAATGAGGAGACATGTCGTATAGTTTTTAACAAAGACAAAGCTTAACACACTATAGAACGGATCAACCGATTTGAATGATCCAAAAAACATTCGATTTGTAATAATGGGGAGATTAGATTATGGCAAAGGCTGGCCTAGCCGTTTCGGAGATATAGAGCTAAATGTGCAAAAAATGGCAGTTTTTGAGAGAACTAAGCATCCGATTTGAATGAGTTAAAACACTTTCTGCTTGTGTTGACAAAACGATTGCTTTTTAGGGAAGAAACTTGTTTATATAATTTTTTTTTTAATTTCCAAGTCTCTTTGATATCCATAGATTCATCACCAATTTTGCCCAAAATCCATTGTAATGATCTTCGAATGTAGTTTAAAATGTGACAATAATTCCTTGATCTAACTTGATCTTTATATAACCTGGAGCAGTTCTTTCTTTTTTGGAAATATATGCCCAATGTAGCATCATTTCCACCAATGAGCAGTCTCATCGTTATTAAAGACCTGGTGTGCCGTGTATCCACCTTTATCAATGGTTATTGTAGTGACAAGCGTTTTCTCATAGATCAAACCACGGTTTGCTGGCAACAAAACTGGATTAATACCAGTTTCTCCAATTTCCTTAAAGTAGTTATAAGTTTTCAAGGCTTTGTTTTTAATAATATTGGCGCTTAGTAGAATTCGCTTTTCGAACAGTCTTCAATCCAGATGCTAAGAGCTTTCCATCTGCTCTATTATTGCTGCCCGAGGACCAGATATTATATTGAAAGCGATTGGACTGCCTGCGGTAACAGATTCTCTAATTTTTTTTATCATTTCTTCCAATCCGTATGAACGCTTCATTTAAATTGAATGATTTGGCGACATGTCATATCTCGATATAAAATTTCTAATTTTGTTCTTATAGAGATAAAATGTCTGTTAGGAAGTTTTTTTTATTTTCGCCAGACAAAGCTCAAAAATACAAATTTATGTAGTTACTATTATCTTTGTAATAAAAAAATAGTACTACTTATCCAAAAATATTTTATTCACGAATACTAACAGGAATAAATTATTAAAGTGTGCTTAAGTATAAATAGTTAACAAAAACTTAGTCAGAAAATCTTGTAGTACGTGCACGTTTGAATAAGAATGGTGAAATACTAAACCTTTTGCACATAAAAGCTTTTTCTCATTGATTACATTATTGTACTGAGATTTCCTTCACTTCAAGTTAGACAAAGTTCATGTATGTGAATCCGTGCTGTAGAAGTATCGTGTTAGGCGGGGATAATATAAAATCCAATTAAGTAGTGCATGTCATTGTGCTTTAAGGCAAATTGCTGAAACTTCCAGTACCAAAAATTAAATTTTTTAAGGAAAATTCAATTTTCTTTTGGAACTCTGAAAAAAAACTATTTTTGAGGTTTTTAAAATTTTTGAAAAGAATGACCTTTTTGAAAAATTTAATTTCTTCTATACTTTGAAAATTTTTAACTTTTTTTCAAAGCAATTGCTATACATTAGCTGCGTTGAAACGAAATATCGAAGCCCGTAGGCGTCGCGTCACAGTAAAACGGATAAACATTGATACGGAACCCATAAAAAAGTAAACAGAATTTGTTCTTATTATTAAAATATTTAAAAAATACGTGATGATTTGATGTGCATATGCCTAATCGATCATTCTTATGCGTCTTATGATTTTTTTTTCACTTTTTTATAACGTTTCCGAAACCGCTAGACTTACTCTTCCAAACTTTTCACCAGTTCTTCATTTCGTCAATACCAATTAAATTGTTTTTTGGATCATTCAAATCGGACCCTCAGTTCTCTCAAAAATTAAAATACCATTTTTGACATTTTTTGCCACGTATCTTCGAAACGGCTGGACCTGTCTTTGCCAAAAACTAATCAGTACGTCTCCTTATTAATAGGAATCTAATGTTTTTTAAATTATTCAAATCGGTTGATCGGTGTCACCGAAATCGTAGTCGAAAATTTGTATCCGCACACACACACACGCACGCACGCACACACGCACATACAGACACACATACATCAATTTTTTCTAAGGTATGCCAAAATATCCATAAACCTTTGAAACGTAAAGATATATACAAATTTTCATTTTCGATTTTTCGGCGATTACTGTAACTTACCCTTAGGGAAGTTAAAAAACAAAATACATATGAAATAATGCCGATACTAATCATAAAATAGTAATAAAATAATAAATACAAAAAATAAAATATTAAAAAAATTATTATATCCATGCTCATAAGCTTGGTGTTAAATTTGAACATTAACAAATTAAATGTGTTATTAAACAGATGGCTTGCCTTAGCTATCAAAAAGCCATCTTGACTTTTTTGACAGCATTCCGTTAAATATTTTCATACCCAATAAATAGTTCACTCGATTTCGAAGCATATCATTACCGAATATATTTACTCTTGTATAATAAAATAGTTAATTCGGTTTGGTTCTTTTTTCAGTGGAAATTCGCATTTTGTGAGGCTATTGTGGCCAAATAATTCAGCATTTTTGGATTCGCATTATTTCCGAGTCAACAACAACCAATCTCAAAGCATCAATGGAACATTGCTGATAGAGTTGCCCTTGAATACGAGACACTTGCTTTATTCAGAATATGATTATAATGTAAGTATTAAAATAACCATTATTATATTGTATGAATATGAACTCCACCACTTTGCTTTTTGCACTAACTTTATTTCATAAAGAACTAAATTAAATACGTTCCGAGACCCAGATTTGTTCATCATCAGTGTAATTTTTTTACATTTATTATGAATCCAGCAATACTGAAGTTTCCCTCTAGTTGTTTATATTATAATCATATCTATTCTTTTGGATTTTGATCTCTAAGATTTCTTTTTTAAATATTCCTACACACAGTCACGTTGCAATTTTTTGTGAGCCCCCACATCATCAACTGCTAATTTTTAAAATTATTACCTTTTTTACTTTTTCTGTACTCTTGTAACGTTGGATTATTAAAAAAATAATAGTAAACTACAGTAAAGTTAAAAAATTTGTTGTCTTTTTTATGGTGATTTAACAATGACTTAAAATGCCTCCACACTAGAATACTCCCTCCAGGAAACACTGCCTTGGTTTTAATACATTATTAGTTGATTTTTTCTGATCCACAAGATTTGGAATTCACATTGGAATATACCAACGCCCAAAACATTTGAATAAACTTCGTAAATATTGCATCATCACTTTCCGAATTTGGACATTTATTGATATCGTTTATGCAATATATAAAATTATTTGCAATAAACAAAAAAAAATCAACACAAAAAAGTCTACAACTATCTGCATTCGTCACAATAGTCCTACAATAGTAGGCGCCTTATGTACCCAATAATAGTTCGATTTCTAAATAATATATAATATAAAAATATCAAAACATTCATTCATTCATTTTCAATCAACATAAAACAACACCCAAAGGTGTAAACATATTATAAGATTGTAAAATGATTCGATTAATTTTATAATAGTTATTTTTATTACGATATTTTGAATTATTTTCATAAAGTAATAATAATATAAACTTACATGAAATGACTTCTCTGTAGCACGTGCCATCAATTTCACAGATCAAATACAAAGGAATGAGCAAAATGCATTTTTATAATAATTTTCATTTTCAGGGAATGCCGTTATTCAGTCGAGGTTCAGCAATTCTGAAATACAATAATAAGACGTTTTTGAACAGCAAATATGAATGTAAATCAGAAAACAGGTAATGTAAAAAATTATATTATAATAAAAATTATAATTAAATTAAATTATATTAAATTATATAAATTATATTATAATAAGTAAAATCCTAGAGGGCATTAACATCAAGTAAAAAAAGAAAAGAAAAATTCTAAATCATCTTTATTATTTCAGACATTGCGATATAAAATTTTATATCATCAGTGTATATGATGTAAGGGGTACATTAATAATATCTACATATATATTTTATATATATAAAAATAAGTCGGGTTTTCCTTCCTGACGATATAATTCCAGAACGCACGAACCGATTTCGACAATTTTGCATTCGTTGGAAATAAATAGCTAAGAAAATTAGTGCATGGCATTGTGCCTTAATGCAAATTGCTGGAACTTCACGCACCGTAATTAAGAATTCGAGTAATGACATTTTTGAGAATTATCAGAATTGTTCTTAGTTAAGTCAACGAGCAATTCTTGCCGCAAAGAATAATGATGTACACGCACTGAATTTCACCATTCAATCAAAAACTGCTTGCGATTTGGTGACATACCAATGATTCCGACTGGTCTTCCGTTTGACTTCAAACGATTGCAATTTCCAGTTTGCCTTGCGTTCGCAATGACAACTAACAAGTCGCAAGGCCAATCGCTTAGTGTTTGCGGGAAAAATTTCAAATAGATTATTTAGAAAATTATTGTTTTTCACATGAGCAGTTATACGTTGCCTGCTCACGAGTTGGGAAACCATCCGCTTTGTTTATGTTAACGTCAGACCAAAAAACAAAAAATGTGGTTTACCAAAGAGCACTTCAATGAAACGGATAATTTGCGGATTCACTTTCATTTATTTAGAGAAGTTCAACTAAAAAACACTTCATTTTTGTAATCGAAATAAATTTATTACTGTTGTGTAATAAAATCAAATTTTTCGTTTTCAAATATAAAACAAAAAATGTCTTCATCTTTCTCACGAAACCATCTGGTGGCGAAACATGGGTTTCGTCGGGTTTGCTAGTTTATTTATGATAATTACGAATGAGTGCATACCCCTTACAATGAAAACAAATACAACGAAAATATAAAATATAGAATTTACACGCAACGCTACAAATGTCAGCAATGAGTCTTTAAGTAATTTTTCTCTAACTATTACAGACACTTGGATTTTTTAATCCAAACTGCATGTGCAATAAAAGTTTTAACCGAATGTCATATTATTAAATTTAAAAATATTTATTATAAATATGCAAAAAAATACATGAAGCCATCTTCAACGTGGACTAGAGTACGCTAAGGACTCTGTGGTACATTTTTCATTAATCGTGCAACATAAGAATTATACTTATATTATGGTATATCACGGATGGTACATTGCGTGAACACCATGCTTGAAACTTTTCGAGTCCGAATCCGAATTTTCCTGGGATGAATCAATTACTCTGTTTTATATATTTATTTTTGTTCTCAACATTTATTCAAATCCACTGACGATGTCAAGAAATGTCATACCAAAACGTCTGAAATAATAAAGATGCTAAAATCTTTACCATTCCTTCTTTTACTAGTGAAATGACAGAATTGGAGATAAAATTATAATCTTCATGACACTGGTAGAAATTGAAATATTTTATGAATAATGATTACCAAATATTTAAAATGTATATCTCAGGGCTGGATACAACAAAGATAACGTGGTCATAACATTGGATAACAAGCACACACCTGTGGGAGTGAACTACATCCATGTTCAACAACAGGATATGGTTAAGGACAGCGTATGTATCCTTATTAATTCACCATCGCAAATAAGCAACAATATTTGTCCAAAAATTACTATCGAGTTACATCGAATGATTTTTAAGTTTTTGAGAAAAAGGACATAGTCTCTAAACACTTTACAGTCTAAAATTAAGTTCTACAAAAATGGTTGAATTATAAAAAATCATTAAAGTTTGGAATATATAATTTCATACAAATGAGTTTTCCATAATATTTTTCAGAATATGAAACGAGTCGAAGTATACCATCTATACAACCGAACAGGATTCAATGTCACTGGAGAATTGCACATGCTGACGACGCCAACTGGACGCCGCCTGGAACTACTCGCCGTTCATACGAATCGAACGGTCCGATTGACAACTGAGCACGATGTCAAAGATCGAGAGTTGGAGCACAGGTCGCGCCTCCAATTGGCCACCAACGTCTGGCTGGCGTATAAATTCAGACTCTTGAACTACACCATGGTAAACCAGCTATATACTGGAATTAAGTACTTTTAGGGTTTCCAATACCAGGATTTCGGTCGATTCTTGTCCGGTACTCAATACCGGTATTTTGGTATTATCGATAGTTTTATAAAAATTGAATTTATTCAGTATGAGTTACACATACCGGGTCGAGTATGGTGTCAAGCGGCGGTGTCGACAATATTGTTTATGTTTTCATTCAATGAATAGATCTCGTTTATAAAAAGTATTGATACCAGGATTCCAATATTTCATTTTTCAAATACCAGTATAGTAAACCTTCGCTTTACGCGGCAAGTGCGTACCGTGCAATATGGGGACCGTGCTATAAAAAACTCGTATTCAACATACAATTCAGGCTAATTCGTAGTGCGTTCTATGGAAACTTATATAGTGCAGTATGGGAACCGCGCTATGAGAGACTCAGAGTTAGTACAAATCGTACCGTATTTTTATCGTGCTGTATGGAGATTAAGGAATACAACTTGAAGTAGGAGTAATACGGACGAAATGACATGTATCACATAGACACCTTATTCCAAAATTGGCGCGACGCAGTAGTCAGTTCAAACGTGTTCTTAGACAGCTGTTATATAATCAGGCATGTCTAAAAGATGAATGTCGATAATAAAACTTACATTAATACCCTTTTGATATTAGGTTCCTATAATCACTCATAGGTTGCGCAAGGAACTTGTGGGCTGTTGAACAAAAACCGTATAATAGGAAGTCGGAGGGATGTCGGAATTTTAGCTCCGCGTAGTATGGGTGTACCCAGAGTGCCGTGTAAACCGAGGTTTGGCTGTATTCAGATTTTTGTTCGGTATTGGAAGTCCTAAGTACTTTGACGCACAGATGTTTCAGAATTCTCCAACGACTCTATAAGTATTTCTCTATTTCATACATTTTTTTTCACAGATGACACAGGATGCCCAGAAATTCGAACTGGACATCTCGTATCCTCGTCGCAACTTAAGTGCCGTAGGGTCCTATCGACTCACAAACGAGTACATCCAGAGCGAAGCGACCCTAACCTGGGATCGAAACGTATCGACGCGCACGATGAGCGCAGGACTCGATTGGAGAAATGTTCCAGGAGAAGAAGGCAAACACACTCAAACAGCAACGCTCACAATTAAGCATCCCTCATTCGAGAAGGTAAGATAATAAAAATATTATATTATAGGGTAAAGCAGGGCTTAAAAGTCCGTGGAGAAAAACGTCCACCACCGATATCTCAAATAGCAGTAAAGTTAAGAATTTTTTAACAACAATATTTGAAAGTAGAGGGGAAAAGATGTATAACCAGCCACCACCTTGATTCTTTCGACGCCAAAATGTAGAGATAAACAGCAATGTTTACCATAACAAAAGTATTTTACTTCGTTGTTAGTTTTTTTTTTGGTTATAAGCACTGTGGTTTAGTTTACGAGACCTTAAGATAATTTATAAGTATGCGTAATTTAATTGTTTTATATAATTTATCGTTGTTTTTAAGTTAGATTCAACCGTTTTGTTTATATAACCTCTATAAAAGCTTACATCTGGGTGGAGGAAAATGAACCAACTAAACATTTAACCTGGCAAAGGTGCAAAAATAATAATAATAATATCAAATAAAAAAGTATATTACAATTAATAATGCAATTTTACATGAGATAAATTGAATAAATAGTTATTCCATTCCAATATAAAAAATATCATAAAAAAGTATATTACATTAAATAAAGCAATTTTATAAGAGATAATTGAACTAGTGGGGCGCATGGCATCGTGCCTTAAGGCAAATTGCTGGAACTTTTCGTTACAAAAATATGATTTTTTTTTAAAACGATTAACATTAATTTAAAAAATTGTACTTCGAAAAATTAGATTTTTGAGAAACTATAAATTTGACAAAATAATTTTGAAAAAAAAAATTCTTTCTTTATTTTGACATATTTTGGAAATTCTGAACTTTTTTCAAAGCAATCGTACTGCTTTAACTGCATAGAGACGAAATGTCAAAGCGCGTAAACGCCGCGTCGCCGTCTAACGGATAAACATTGGTACGGAACCCATAAGAATGTAAACAAAATTTATAATTATTGTTAAAATCTCTATAAAATATCTGATAATTTGATGTGCATATGTCTAATGATCATTTATAACCACCAAATGGCATTTTTTTTACTTTTTTCATTAGATCTCCTAAACCGCTAGACCTGCCTTCATCTCAATTCTTCATCTTGTCAATACAAGTAAAATGTTTTTTGAATTATTAAAATCGGACGCTCCGTTCTCTTAAAAACTGAGTTACCACCATTTTTGGCACTTTTTGCCGCGTATCTTTGGAATGGCTAGACCTGCCTTCGCCAAAAACTAATAAGCACTGAATTATTCAAATAGCTTCATCCGTGTTCCCGAAATCGTCGACGAAAATTTGTATCCGCACACACACACACACAAATTTCTTTCTCAAAACTCAATTTTTCTAAGGTATGCCAAAATATTCAGAAACCTTTGAAACGTAAAGATATTTAAAAAATTTCATTTTCGATTTTTTTTGCGATTACTATAACTTGCCCTGCGAGAGGTTAATAAATAGTTATTCCATTCCAAATAAAAATATCAAATAAAAAAGTATATTACGTTAAATAAAGCAATTCTACAAGAGATAAATTGAATAAATAGTTATTCTAAATCTGCTGATGAATATTTCTAACGTAATACCAGATAATGGTTATTTACAGAGTTATCTCTGTAAAAAATACACCCTTGATATTTATATTTTGCATTGGTTGAATAATTTGTAAAATTTCTTTAAAAATAAGAATACCTGTTTAAAAATAATAAATACCTGTTTGGCCACCTGGCCGTCCCAATTTACCTCGCCAATGATAGAAAGGACCAGGTTACAAATTTTTGAAAAACAGCAAACAAAACACATTTCTGCAATGATAAAGGAGCTGGGAGTTTTACTGAACATAGCCGGATTGTTGTTCGTGTGATAAATGTGTTATTTGTTGTGATATAATTGATTTGGTTTTCACAATATAATTGCTCCGAGTCAAATTGGACTCTTATGCCCCGCCCGACCCTATCGGCTTTTCACTAAAAACTGAACAATGCTGTTTACAATTGATAGATGTCAAACAAACTTATAATTACAGTATTGATCCAATTTATCATAAACAGAAAATTTAGAACAAAAA